TTCCGACGGAGTAACGAAAGATAATTCGAATGGAGCCACTCCAAAACCTATTTTGAATCGTACCAGGACACCTAAAGAATCAATTTCATCATCATTAAACGTTATGAAAGCAGATCTTGGGAATCAACTGCTGTCTGCTGTTTTTGAAAATCCAATTGATGGTATTCTTGGGGATAATTCCGCAACCAAACCAAGCCCAACTGATGGTACCATTGAAGATGATTATATATCTCGGGCTAGCAACGAAACGTTATGTAGTGATTGGGATCAGGATACAATGTAAACGTGAAAAGGATATGGAAATTGATTTTTCAAAACATGTTTTTAAACCGACCGTTATTACAGATGCTAATATTAATCGTACAAATAGATTTTCTCTATTGGGCAATTTAGATATTGAGTCTAGTGTAAATGAAAAAATCATACATGACAGCACACGCACTTCTAAAAATAGTGAACCAAATAAGGCGGAAAGGAATTCTTTTTGTCCTCCTATTTTCCTACAGAACGTCAATATAACTTCTCTCATTGAGCAGTTGAAGTATAAAAAAATTGAATTTAAAATAAAAAACCAATCTAATTCTAAAAGCAAATTGTTCTTAAAAGGTGCCACGACTCATGCTGAGATGATAGCGCTATTAAAGGAAAAAAATATTGCTTCTTATACATATACTCCCAAAGAGTTCAAACGTCAAAGTATAGTCTGCAGAGGTTTATACTTTAAAACTGACATAAATGACATTAAGTCTGAAATAAATAAGTTCGTTCCGGATACTGTAGAAGCTGTTACAATGTTTTCTACAGATTTCTCAAGAAAACACGGTGTTGATACTAGTTTGTTCTTAGTAACCTTAAAGGCAAATCGTAAAGCTAATGAGATTCTTGGTATAAGGTATATTCTTGAGCAAAGTGTGTATTGGGAAAAACCAAAAGCTTCCAAAAAAATTCCTCAGTGCTGGAGGTGCCAACAGTGGGGTCACTTTTCGAAAAACTGCAGTCGCCCTTTTTCATGCGTGAAGTGTAATAAAAAACATGAACCTGGTTCATGTGAAATAGGTTCCGACGATAAAGTATTTTGTTTTAACTGCAATACTTTTGGGCACACAGCTAACTTTAGGGGATGTAGCTCCTATAAGAAATTTCTCTCTTATAGAAACAAAATTGCTGAAGAATCAAAAGCACGGAAAATGGCTGCGATAAAAAATGTGTCAAGTTTTGTAAATGGCACAAACTGGGTTAGTGATAATAGAACATTTGCTAATGTTCTTAAGGAAACAAATAGAGCACAAGAGAAGCAGGAAAAACCTGTTTTAATTCAGGAATTTTTAAAAGTAGCCAACATGTTATGCAATCCTGAATCTTTAACTTTAGAGGAAAGGATCAAGAATTTTTTAGGTAAATACAAACAAATGACAAAAGATCAAGCAGAGGCTGAATGCTTGAAATTAATGCAAGATGTATACTATCCGTAATTCTTTGAACTTAGTTACTTTTAATGTTGGCTCCCCAGTCAACATAGCTAGAAAATTGGAACTTAATGTAATACTGGATCAAGGCAATGCTGATATAGCGTTTCTCCAGGAGTTACATTTGCCTGAGGGAAACAATATATATCTAGACAACTTTATTGTTTTAAGGGACAAGAGTTCCGTTGGAGTTGGGTTAGTTATTAAAAAGACAATTTCTTATTCGAAAATATCAATTCCTGACTTAAAATTCCCAAATTTATTTGTAGAAATCAATGTTTTGATGAATGGAACAGTTCAAAAATTTTTGTTTGGGTCTGTTTACTTTCCAAGCAATTTTGACCGCAGGTTAATTTTAAATGGCTTGTCAGTAATTCTAAATTTTTCTCGAAGTTTTGATGGGCTTGTAATTGCAGGAGATTTAAATGCTAAACACATTACTTGGGGCGACACAATTAATAATTATAATGGTGAGGTTCTGTCAAATTGGTTTGCTGCCGAGAGCTTAAATGTATGTAGGATTTGTGATTCCTATCCCACTTATCCCAGATGTTCATCACATTTGGACCATTTTATTGTTAGTAGCAATTTGGTTGGCAATCAAAATTTCACAACAAGTACGTTACCCACATTTTCAGATCACTTGCCTCTGAAATTTCACCTCTCATTTTCGCAATTTGATTTCATTTTGCAAAGCCCCGAAATCTTCATCTCATTTAAGAATGCTAATTGGGATTCATTCAAACAAGATATTATTAACTCTTTGCTATGCCATTATCCTCCCATCAACCGAAATCTGACAAATTCCGAGATTGATTATTATATAGAGGAGTTTGTAGCGACTCTCAATTTCGTAGTTAAGTTGCATTCTCGTGAGGTTAAAAGAGGTAATTTTAAATTCATTCCATCGGATAAATTGAAGTCATTGCTTAGAATTAAGTATAATTGGCAAAAAGATTTGAAAAGGATTTTTGCCCGAACTTTTAATAGGAACCACCCAGATTATTTGCTGATATCAAAACAAATTGATTTGGTAAAGATAATCATAAAGGAGCAAGTAGAATTAGAGCAGGCCAACATTTTTAATTCGAAATTAAGTGAAATTAAACCTGGTCCTTGGGCTTATAAGCAGATCTTTAATATTATAGGTAAGAAAAACAGGTCCAAAGTAACTGACATTTCTGTAAATGGCGTTAGTATTTCTGATGTAAATCAAAAATTAGAATCTCTGAAGAATCATTTTAGTTCCATTTATCAAGGTTCTCCCCCCGACAGAGACACAACGTACATAGATGAAACCATACACCGTGTTATATCAAGTGTAGAAGATTCTATCAACACGTTTGATGATTCCACAACAGCCCTAAATAATCAAAACGAATCTGTTTTTACTTCGTTAAATGAACTTCAGGCAAACATAAAATCAATGAATAACAAAAAATCGTGCGGCGTGGATAACGTGTCAAATTACCTCATCAAAAAATTTCCAACGAAGGCCTTGGAGTATATGACAATATTATTAAATAACTGTATAAACAACGGTTATTTTCCGAGAGCTTGGAAGATATCAAAACTTGTTTCTATAAGAAAAAAATCTGGAGACAGTGATATTAATAACTTAAGACCGATTTCACTTCTTTCAAATCTTGGAAAATTTTTCGAAAAAATTATTAAGGAAAAAATGGATGCTGAGTTGAGTGGTCCTTATATTTCTCAATATCAATTTGGTTTTAAGAAGGGAAATTCAACAGCTCATGCGCTTCTGAAATTCCATAACGATATTATCCAGAATCTTAGGGAAAAACGATGCACTGTGGCGGTGTCACTTGACGTCGAAAAAGCCTTTGACAAAGTCTATCACAATGGCATTTTATTCTAAATGATTGAGATTGGGTTTGAACCAACGACAGTAAAGCTTTTTAAAAGCTTTTTCGACGAAAGAAAATTCTATGCTCAAATTGAAAACGTCTTGTCATCCTTATGTGATATAACCTGCGGCGTGCCGCAAGGATCCATATTAGCACCTCATTTTTATAATATATCCATATACGACTTTCCCCATGTATTTGATGGATCCAAGGATATACTTTATGCCGGCCACTCTCTTCTCTACGCTCACGATGAGTCCCCGTCAGTTGCTCTTCAACATGTTTCATCGCATCTTAACCGAGTGAAATATTTTTATTCGCAATGGGGCATTAAAATTAATGCCGCAAAGAGTAAAGCAATTTGCATTAGAAATGCTTCCGGAAAATGCAAATATACTGTAGTCCCGGAAAGTAAACAGTTAGAGCTGCATTTGGATAGTGATGAAATTGAGTTCACTGATAACCTTAAATACTTAGGAGTTAATTTCAACCACCTTCTAAAATTCAACAGACATGCTGATTATAATTTGGAAAGAGCGAATCGCATTAAAGGTGCATTTTCAAATTTATTTAACAACAAATTTTTATCAGTTAGAACTAAATTATTCCTCTACAAAGTTAGCATACGTCCTGTCCTTCTGTATGCCTTTAATATTTGGTTCAACATTTCTCCAACCACGATGAAGAAATTAGAAGTTTTTGAGCGGAACATTATTCGGAAATGCTTAGGTCGAAATTTTCAGTCACATACTAAGCGATATTCAAATGAATTCATTTATAATGAGAGCAAAATTACACGACTTTCAGCATATGCACTTGATTTGATGAAGCGATTCGTAGAAAGACTTGTCGATTTCAATGGGTCTATTTTTCAGGAAATTTTAAACAGCGAACGTGAATTTAATTGGAAGAATACGAATTATCTTTCCGCCTTAGGAATAATTCAAGGAGGGTCAAATTCATCTGGCCAAAACTTTTATTCTTACTCTACACCTGGAACACATAGGGGGTAGTTTTTTATGTAGTTTAGGTATATATAATTTTAGTTTAATTGTTTTGTTTTGGTTTTTTTTTGTAGTTATAAGTGCACATCAAAATATAGATAAAACTCTATTCGCTACAGCTAGTGTCGGGAGCAAACACTATTTATCTCATTTACTGATTATTTGTTAATTACAATTACATATCTAAAGAATGTTTAAGCACGTAGCATCCCCAGTTTATGTAATGATATTAGAATAATACATGATAGTTTTAAGTGTCCCTGATATTTATTGTTAATACCATGTCTTTAATGAAATGAATGAAGTCTCAATAAATACAAATCAATTTCAATTATTTATCAACGTTTGTTTTCTTTAAATATTACGAGCAAATAATTTGACTTATGTTTTCACTATTTTCTGTTTTCAAATATAACGGCCTTTGTGTTACTTACCGAGTCACCCTGTTCTCACATTTGACTCTTGTTATTGGTATCGTTAGCGATAACACAGCACATCAGCTGTTTAATATTATTGTGAATTGCAGTTTCTTCATTGTAAATGATTCATTGACGGAAAATTAACTAGTTCCATTCCGTGAATAGGAAAATTGAACAAGAGAAGATACGAATCTTCGACGGCCGAAAAAATCTGGAAATACCTACAATTCCATAAATAAAAACACCAAAATGCACGGTCGCCTTAAAGTACGTACCACCGAGGAAGAGCGCGAACGCAAGAAGAAGGAACAGGCTCTAAAAGTTAAAGCATACAAGGCTGCAACAGCAAAGATAAGTGTTAAGAGACAAAATCATGAATACGATGATGAAATGTTAGCCTATACTACACCCATTCTTCAACGTAATCCTGATGTTTCCACTTTGTGGAATATTCGAAGGGAATGCATTCTAGCCAAAATGAAGAAAATCCAAGAGGAAGATGATATACCCGATGAAAATGCAGAGAGCAAAGAAGATCGTATTTTAAAAGTATTAGAGACTGAAATTTCCTTGACGGAACAATGCCTCTTGGTCAATCCCAAGAGTTACAATATTTGGCATCATCGTATGTGGCTGTTGGAACAATCACCCAAAGCCAACTGGCAGCGAGAGGTTATGTTGTGCAATAAATACTTAAAAATGGATGAAAGGAACTTCCATACATGGGATTATAAACGTTATGTTGTGGAAAAGGCTCAAGTTCCCAAGGAAGAAGAATTGGATTTCTGTACTGAGAAAATTAAAGTTAATTTTTCCAATTACTCTTCGTGGCATCATAGGAGTTTACTACTGCCCGCTCTCTATCCCTATGAGGGCGATGCTAAACCCAAACGTCCCATGAGTGAAGAAAAACTGAAGGAAGAATTGGAAATGGTACTTACGGCGGCGTTTACTGATCCCTACGATAGCTCAGCATGGTTTTATCAACGATGGCTTTTGGGATATTCCCAACCAGAATTGGCTGTGTGTGCATTTAGATGTAGCAAAGACAAGACTGTCTTATCGTTTACCAAACCCACTACCAAGGAAGAGTTAAAAGTATTACTCACCGGTGGTGGACAAACATTGGAAATTACTGATTTCCAAACACTCAATAATCAAGTCTCTGATACAAGTTTCTATAGCAAAACCCAAGTAGAAAATCCTTCACTGTATACACAATTGGAAGTCACTTCCAAAGCACTTAAAACAATCACACTACCTCTAAGTAAATACAACGATGACATTTATTATTTCCAACCTTTGGAGGCCACCACAACGTATACTCCAGATGTATTGGATCAGCTAAAATCACAATTAGAGTCCTGCGAGAGTCTTTTGGAATATGAACCCGATAGTAAATGGTGTTTGCTTACATCGGCACTATTGATGAGGGCCATCGATTGCAACGCGTACCATGACAAAACCATGGAGTATTTGAAGAAATTACAAAAAGTTGATAGCTTAAGGGAAAATTATTATAAGGACTTGGCTTCCAAATGGATTTTGCAGAAAGCTTTAATTCAATGGTCAAAGACTGGTGAAAATATGTTAAAATCATTAGATTTGTCACAAGAAAATCAACTAACATGCCTTACGGATAAGCAATATTTAATAGTGGCTGATGAAATAATCCTATCGGAGGAATTGACCAAACGCTATGGTGAACTGAAATCATTTATCAATATTTAAACATGGCATTTTCTAAATCAATTGTGAGTACTTAGAGATTCATTGGTATTCATTTGTATGCTAATAATAATAATGTGAATGTTTATTTCTTTGCAGATATTTGCCTGGTATGGTCTTTTCATTGTCTCATATATGGTTTTAGACAAGCTTATATTCCTTTAATGTTTTTTAGTAATGTATTTATTCCAATATTCCATTGTACACCAATTTTATTTAGGCTGAATAAAAATTACACCACAACATATTTATGGGAACACACATAATAAACAAATTTAGTTTTCATTGGGTGGGTTGAATAAGTTGTAAATTCTCCATATAATATTAAGTTATATTACATATTAATTGTAATCCATAATGTATATGGGGTTATATACTTACCAGAGATCTGCATTAGCTGAATTTCTTTTACTGCATATTCGTTGCTTTTGCATTGCTTTGCTATTATCGTCGCTCTCTATTCTCTCTCTATTTTCTATGTGCCGTTAGCAATACATAATCTCGTTGTCATGTGTGTTTCTTGTTTGGAATATTTAAAGGAAATTTTCCACATTTTTAAATACATACATGTATTTTCACTTTTTAATTTATGACAAATTAAACAAAAGGGAGTATCAATGTAAACAAATTTGTTTTTCAAGACGTATGGAGATTTTTATGAATGCATGCTAAAGCTCGTTGCTTTTGCGAATACTATGAATATATACAGGTTCAAAGCAACAACAAGCACTAAACCATTGATGTTCAAAACTTCCCAAAATCATTCATTAGCATTAATAGTTAAAATTGTACTCCCATTTGTTTTCCTCTGTAGTTTTTGGTGATAAATTCTCAGTTGCGCTCACCTACACGTACTCTCAATTTAGTTATGGCAAACACTGCACTAAACAACGAATGATTTTCCGGCTCGAATCATGCCTTTGCATCATTCATTTGTCTTTGTGCATGGCACTGCACATTTCTTTTTTGTGTAAAGGCACAAATGAGCGAGACTTTTTTACCATTCATGAAGATCTCTGATACTCACTACTAATTGTAAGAATAACTTTACTGCATTAACACACTCTGCCACCATAAATTTTCTCAATAATTAAACGTTTTATTAAATCGAGAAAAATGTATTTATTTAATCGTTTTGCATCTAGGTTTTCATTGATCTAACATAAATATTTATATGAACAATTTCTAATAAACAATTATTTTATTATTACTTTAATGAAATGTATTTTTATTTCGGTTTGTATTAACAACGGATTCAAAAATATATGTATGTTATAGTTACAAGTTTAATAAAATAATTGATCGTTTTTCTATTTTATTATTTGCTTATTTGTTATCATTTCCGACAAGTTGTTTTTCATTTGTTAATATTATAGTGTATCTTATATATGTGTAAATAATTTAAAACCCGTTTATTGATTTTCAATCATATTTTTTTTTTTAGTTTTTAGGAAAACTGTTTAGCTTGGTCCATTCGTATGTAATTCAATTCTCAAGTGACTTTCTAGGTCTTCACTCTCTTCATTTGTTTTTTTTTATTTTCGGTTAAAAGTACTTCATTTTAATTTGCACTTTAATTTAAAGCTTAAACTGTATATAGGGAATATTTTTTTCATCTAAAATAGTTTTGATTTCTTTTTTGAAAACAATAATTCTAAAGTTTTCAATATACATATCAGTACACAAAACTTGTTAAATTCTATCATATTTAGAAAATAGAAATTTTATAGTGTTTTTTATTATATTTCAAACATTTATATATTGGTCGTCTTACTTTTTTAATTAATATATTTCAATACTTACGTTTAAAGTATGTAGGTAGGATGTGCATTTAACAGTTGTCAAATATTATGTGTATATTTATATCCTAATTATTTATATATTATTTATGGGGACGGTTTTAATTTACATCATCCTATTTAAAATATGGTGAAAGATTTAAGAGAAGACATACTCTATTCACCCTTCACATATTTTGGTGCTTAAGTAAAAAAATGTATTGTGATATTTGTCTGCATAAATGTCTTTAAAAAATAAAATCCCGAGCTGCATTGCTTTGTCCGGAGTATTACTAATACTGTGAGCCCTCTAACGGGGTGAATCTAAATTCATCTACGAAAAGAAAAATGAAATTGAAAACTGTATTTTGGATTTTTTTCAGAAAATATAAATCAATAGAAAATATACTTTGTTTTTTTATTTAATTCAATTTAAATAATTTTTAATCAAGCCATAATAAATGAATTATTTTTACGATTTCAAATTACCGTATATTCCGTGTAATTTGGAGAAGATTCACTGAATCGAAGTTTACGATTTAAGTAAAATCTACATTAATGACCTCAAATTTCATTTTTGAAAATAAAGAAATAAGAAAAATACCAGTAAGTTGTAATTAACAGCCGACAACTAAAGACCTTACTGACCACAATTTAATTTTACAAAACATACAATAATTGCGACATTTGTTTCATTTAATAATACACGCACAGGAAGTGCATAAACGTTTTGGGATGCCGACTATATATCTCAGATATCTCCGTAAAATAAATGATTGAAATATTGTAAATTCGTGGGATCTTTTCGATTTGTTCAAAGGATATAAACATTATAACCTTTGAAATGTTTGTGGATAATATATTCATATTAAACCATGGATTAGTAATTTTTAATCTATTCTACGAAATATAGGAAAGTTAATGTATTAAAAAGTGTGTTAATCCGTATGTGTGAAAGGAAATATATTATTCAATAAAAGTATTTTATACAGGAAAATTTTTTATTTTTTATAGTCATTTTATAAAAAATAGAATTATTTTTCAAAAGTTATTTAAAAATGTTAATTCAAAATTTACTTTCAAAAAGCATAGGACTGATGTAAGTGTTTGGTTATTTATATACTAATAGGTAATACATATTGGACCATGTGGTTAATTTTTAAGGTTCTTTTTTTGTTAGTTAGTTTAGTAACATTGCTGCTAATATATATTAGTATACATATATATTGGTAAATATTATTATAAAAAACAAACTTTTTCTTACTTATCGTATTTACTTCAAATTGAATTGTGGTGTTCTCGTTTGGTTGTTGATTTTTTGTTGTTGTATATTTTTTACATAAATATAATTCTTTTTTATTTAAAGAAATATCAATGATTTACAAATTTATGCATAAATCTTATGGTCTATAATGTTGTTTTTCACTTGCTAAAATATATTTAAAACTTAAAAGAACAGAAAACGAAAAAAAGAATAGAATGTTTTTTTATAATTCAAAAAGATAATAGTGAATGCGAACTATTATGTGTATTTTGTTTTGTTACATTGCTAATAATTCTGTTATAGATTTAATTATACATAATTATAAGTAGTAATGATAATATTTCTTTAATGTAATCTTATTTTTTTGTTTTGTTTATACACTTTACTCTTTTAAAGCCTTAAAGCTAAAATGGGGGGCTTTTTCATTTAAAATTATAGTTAAAATAAGATAATAATGAATAAAAAGAATGTTAAAAAATATTTCATAATAATAATTATTATTATCATTATTGCCTTGTGTAAGCAAATTCGTTAATAAGGGGTTTCATTTGAATAGTTCTTGTTATGGATATTTATATTTGTAAATTCAATAATTTGTGTGTGTTTCTTGTTTAAAACATTCGAATTTATTAATGGTTAATGTTGTATGTATAGCTTGTATAAATCTAGACCACTGCTACTATTCCATAATATTACATCGTTTTATTTTTCTTCCTGTTACCTTTCAATGCACAGCATCAATGTCTCTTTGTGCCCTTGAAATTTTTAATTTATCTTTTGGTGTATTATCTTCACCCGATTCCAATGCAAACATTTTCATTTTCTCCTTAAAGGAAAGTTTTTCGGGTACTGCTTCGGTATTGCGTTGTTGTTGCTGTTGTTGTTTTTCTGCCAAGCGACGTGTACGTGGATCTCTATAGATTTAGAAATAAAAGTAGATTTGGTTATTTTGCATGTATGGAAATGAATTAAAAAAAGCGAATTTACCTGTAGACTTCTTGAGCCCCTATGACGCCGGGAGTAGATTGTACTGTGGTATTCCATGCAGCAGCATCAGGTGTGGCAGGCATTGATGGCAACATGGATGTATCGACATTTTGTGGTAGAAACTATGAAAATAAAATAGAAGCAATTAAAATTTGAGAAATATCAATTTATTGTAGATGAATTAAAAGGATATTTGTTTTGAAATTTCCTCATCCTTTTTGAATTTCATGTAGGGAGGACACTATATATTTTGAATCACAAAAAGTCCACTATACTTACACTACTATCCTCACGAATTGTGTTCAAATCCCCAGAAGCTCCATTACTCGACACCATCGACATATCCACACTATTGCTATTGTATTCCATTTGATGGTATGCTGCTGTTGAACCACTACCACCAACAACATAATTATTTTCTTCATCATGGAACGAAACACGTTTATTGTCGCGCATCAAAATCGACGATGGACTCGATGATGATGTTGCACTGTACATATCCATTGTCGACGAGGATGGCGACGACTGTTGTGAAGAAATTAAATTATTTTGTATATTGTTGTTATTATTGTTTAGTAATATGCTAGCAGCCGAGGATTTCTTTTGCATATCCGCTGAATTAATGGTAGCCGTTTTCAGAAGACCAATAGAAGAGCTACGTTGTTTTTGTTGTGACATAATCAAATATGAACTATTACGTTCGGGAGGAGGTGGTGGCGGTGCCGATGAATTCTCCATATTCATATTGTTATCGTATGAACTAGTTGTTGTTGTCGCAGTTGTGGTCGACGATGAGGTTGAGGAGTTTGCGATTGACATGTGGGATATATCACGAGCCAATGACGAAATGGGATGTTCTGTTTGTATATGTTTTTCATCGGCAAAGGATGCAGATTTTTGTGATTTAGATGGCGATGAAGGTGCTGTGCTCGAACCATCATAACGATTATTCTTCAAAATAGATTTGGGCTGGACTGTGGTTGTGCCTGTCACAATGGTTGTGGGAATTGTGCTGGGTGGGGGATTGACTGGTATGGGTGGTGGTTGTACAGGTTCAGCTGCTGAGTTGCGTGCAGATGACATGGGTGATGTTTCATTGGAATTATTGCTACGTTGATCCGATACCACAGAAGCGATTTTTACTTCAGTTTGACGGAAATTGGTCACTGGCGTTTGAATGACGTTTTGTTGATGATTCAAACGGAAAACTTCTTGGACATTTTCTTTCTCATAGGATGGTTCACTTTCGTCCTCCTGCTCCTCCATCTCTTGAGCTCTGCGCTCAAAGTCTCTTTCGAGTATGAGAGTCTTAAGTTGTTCGTCCTGTTGGGGTGTACGTTGGGCAATCGATGACAGTTCATTGATTTGCTGTTCACGCCATTGACGTATGTGTTCGCGGCGCATTTCTACCTCCTTTTCGCGTTCCTCACGTTCCCAAGGATTTGTTCCCAACATGTTCTTATTTTGTTGTAATGCCGAAGCGGAAACTGGTACATAACCGCCTTTAGGTGGATCCAAGGTACTGGCAATGTAGTTCATGCCTGGTGTGATTTGTTGAGTGGCCTTGTAAAGAGGATGCGTGGTGGTTGGTGGTAGAGGAGGTTTTTCCTCAGCGGTTTGTGGTTGTTGTTGCTGCTGCTGTTGTTGCTGTGAATACAGAGTCTGACCCAAATAAGACTGAGGCGGAAATTGCTGTTGTGTGCCCGATAAACGATTTTGTTGTGGTTTTGGTGCTGTGGGCGGCTGTTGTTGTTTTGGTGGAGTTAATTGTTGCTGTTGTTGACCTGGCTTGGGGGGTAGTGTCATGAAGTTGCCTTGCTGTTGTTGTTGTTGTTGCATTTGTGTCATATTCGGTGAGTGTTGAGCTCCTCCATCCATATAGTCGGGACGCATATTTCTTCTAAGGGTTTGTGCCCCACCAGCAGGTGAATGTTGTGCCTGCGACATATAACCGCCATTGTTTTGATCTAACGTATCGCCGCCCATAGATGAAACATTTTGCATGCTTTGACTCGCTGCCATGGACATATTACTATGATTGCCAGGGTGCGATTGTTGTTGTTGCTGCTGCTGATGCTGTTGTTGGTACATATTGCTAATGTTGGGCATGGATGGTGCCATCATCTGTTGCATACGTAAACTTTGTTGTGTTTGCATGTCACGTTGGAAATTCTGGGTACTCTTTGAGCGATTTCCCAATGTCATACTCTGTTGCTGTTGTTGTTCACGATATAGTTGCTGCTGCTGTGGTGTCATATGATGCATGGGATGCTGTGAATGTTGTTGTTGTTGCTGGGTTTGATGTTGCATGGTCGACAAGTTGGTGGTACTAGCACTGAAGTTATGAGCATGTTGTGCAAATTGTTGTTGTGTCAAATGTTGATGTTGTGGTGGCTGTTGTTGCTGTTGATAGTAGGCCGATTGTGGGCGACTGGGCAACATATTAGATGAATGTGGAGATGTTATCATTGGATGTTGAGAATTTTGGTGATGTTGTGGTGGCTGCTGCTGTTGTTGTTGGTATGGATTTTGATGTTGATTTCCAGTTGGGCCTGTACCATTTGTTGGCGAGAGTATTGGATTTTGTGTGTTTTGTTGGGAATTTCCATTGTATGCGTTCATTGCGGAATGTGATGGCATGGGGGGTCTGAAAGAAATTATTTAGAAGAAAAGTATGATTAAATAAGAGGCATAGAAATAAAATATGTAAACATAGCAAATATTATTTACATTCATAATATATTTAATACAAATATATAATTATGTGAATATAAACTGTGTACAATTTGGAGGTTCAAGTTCGAGGGAACGAATATGTATATTTAGTTTTATAAATTAAGAAGATATAATCAGGGAAGTTTCAAAGAATATAGTGACACGGTAGTGATCCATCCTAATGAGTAATTCCACGTGGAATTTTCGTATTTTGTGGGACAACATTTTCATAAACAACATTCCTATTTAATCTCTGGCGTAGATGTTTACTTCAAAATTTATTTTTTATATTTTATCATTAGTTAATAATTGTTGAACAGTTTTTTGTTTTGTAGAGCACATAATGCAATTCATAAGAAAATTATGCGAATAAAGGTTGACGTTTGGTGTACTTTTATATGAACGGTTGTACAAAATGACAACATAAATAATTGTTTGTTTGATATAGCAGTCCTTTATAATAAGTGCTTTGTTTGATAATGAATATAAATAGTTGTAGTGTTTAAAGTATCATTTGTGTGTATGTGTTTTGTGTATATAAAGAAAATCAAATAAATTTTGCACAAATAAAGCAAATTGCAAATGTATAGGTGTACTGTTAGACAATAAATCAAAACATCGATCAGGAATAGCGGAAAGCAATTTGCATTTGTTCAATTCTACTCACATTGGTCATTTCTAGAATTTGTACTTCTTTTTTAATGGGTATAAAACCATAAAGTAATTTTTTAAAACGTAAAGTAATCCTAATTGATTATAATTGGTTGTTTGTGTAAGCATTTATTTGTACAAAAGAAGAAAAACAAAGAGGAATAGAAAAGAATATGAAAAAAATAAGAAAAAAAAGAAATGTGATACCAGTACCAATCATAATTTGTATATTGTTTTTGGTTAAATGTACTCTAAACACTACAATAATATAAATTATTTTTTTTCGTAATTTCGAACTTACCTTTCACTTAAAATCGGTTGTGATTGATTTTGATTGCGATAAACGCTCAAATTTTGATAAAAGCCTTGTTCGTTGTTGTTATTATTGTTGGCATTGTTATTTAAGGTATTATTTAAATTTGTTGCAGGATTGGCCAAACTATGAGTACTGCGTGATTTCGAATTTGCCATGGCTTTAAGAAAAATAATATATTTTTTAATTATTTATGTATAAAATATAATTTTTATCAAATTGGTCATAGAGAATATTTATATGATTTTTATTAATAGTTGTCAGCTATGTTAATTAATTATTTTTTTTTAATTTCTTAATAATTAAAAATTAACTTACATATAGTACCACTGCCCATGTGATGATGTAATGCTGGTACTGATTTACTATTGGCTAAATGATTATTTGCTATGAGAGGACCACCAACATTTTTACCATCAGCACCCATACGTGTTAGGTCACGTTCAGACATGCGACGATTACCTGAAGATGTTGCATATTTCATTTTGTTTTGCGATTTTTTTTGGAAGCAGGCGTTTGATAATTTGCAATTGTAACCAATTCGTAATGGTGGTTAGAAGCAATTTGTCATGAAAAATAATGAAGAAAAAATTTGAATTAGTTTAGAGTGCATTGTTTTTAGTTATAACAGTAGTATTTAAAATAAGTATTAATAAATATTTTTATAAATTAAAATTAATCAAAGTGTACTCTACAAGAAAATTAAAATTTAATATAAAATATTGTTTATGGCAGTAAATTAGGAAAACAGTACATGTGAAAATAAACCAACAAAAAATGGCTCATAATAACGTTAACTAAAATCTATAATCACTTATCTATAGGTGGAAAACTCATTGATATATTTCATTGTCTAGATATAAATCTATATAGTTCATATTATATAAAAGCAATGAAAGGATTTCTATATACGTACTACTTTCTAAAGCACTACTTGACCTAAACGATATTTATTAGATTCGTTTTTTATAATTAAAAATTATTTTATATATCAAGGATAATGATAAAATTCCATATACGGATTTTATTTAGAATAGAAATTCGTGTTTGAACGCCCCATATAATGATACGTACTTTAAATAGAGTAGGAACTTTGTAAGGGTATTATTCTAATAACATATCCACACCCGATTAAGTTCAATGAAAACTTATAGTCATTGAACTAGAACTAGGTTACTGAAGGGTTATGAGACCTATATACACATATTTTGTCACATTTGTAAAAACAATTGATAAATAATAACCTAATTTAAGAACCATTTATTACATTCTTAGCATAAAGTCTAAATAAAAAATCCCTAAGAAAGAAAAGGTAAAGTCCACATAACTCATAATAAAAAATATTAAAAATAATACTTATATTGAATTAGAACAAATTAAAGTTCTATCTGTAAGGTGCAGCATAATTTAAAACCACCAATCAAAATTATAGTTCACAGTTTTGAAAACGCGTTGAAAAAATAAAGGAATTAAAACACAAACACAACGTCGAAGAGTAATAAAAAACATGGAAAAACAAACACAAAAAAGCAACTCAAAAACAGGGCTAGATTTCCCAAAATGTTTGCAACAACCTCTTGTCAACGGATTATCAACTTGTTAGGTTAGAATCGTCCACATCAGAAATTTCATCAGCAGCATTCTCTTCATTTGCCATTCCATCGACAGCTTTGTCATCATCATCGTGTAATTCATTAAAGCAAGTATTGTGATTTTCAAATTCTTTACAACAATGGGGACAGGTGCTAGAGCATGTACGAAGATTTTCTGTAGTTGGAGTTTTAATAGGCTGATCAACATCATCACCATCATTATTCAATGAGGACGCTAATGATAATAGATTTCTACACCGGGATGGGGTTTCCTCTCCATCATTTGACGTTTGCTGTTTATATTGTTGCTGCTTGCGTTTTATACTTCGTACACTTTTTGTTTTGGGGCAAAGTTTTAAAGTACCACAACGACGAAATGTTGAGGTGGGGATGCTGGCATCTTTCGTTGGGGAGGTAATGGTAGAAGCATTTGATGAGGAGGTTGTTGTTTCAAAGTTATATTGGATTTCTGGGCCATCATTCATTAGTTGGTGGTCGTGATGATGATGATGTAGTTGTTGACGACAATGATGTTCATGTTGATGACAACAACATGTGCAATTGGTGTTTATACAGGTTTGTGTGCAATTTTCCATAAAACAACAACATTTAGTAGTTTGAAAACATTGACAATCACAGTTAACATTTAAACGACTAGAAGTAGAGGTGGTGTTGGTGGAAGTGGTGCTTGTTAAAGGCTTTAAATTACAGGTTACAGGAGAATCAGGTATATCTTTAATATTGCAATCATGTATAATATTATTATTGTTATTGCTATTTGTATTGTTATTTAAACAGCAATGATTTAAACTAATTCGTTGTTTGGTTTCATTCGATTGTACTGAGGAATTGGAATTGGACAATGGCGATTGATTGGCATTTTTTAGGTTAATATCAAAGTCACGACCTTCTAGGCCAAATATACTCCATTCTTTTAATTGTTTGAGTATATCCGATTGTTCGGTTTGTGTTAGTAAAGGTTTTTTCTTCTTTTGTCCGTCCAAATCATTACAATTGGTCTCCAAAAGATCTGAAGTGGATTTGGTCAAACGTTTTTGTTGTGAAGAACGTTGAGGTGAGAAACTTTTTGTTACAGATTCTCTACGAAATGGTTGTAATTTAAAATCTTTGTTTTTGGCAAAGAATTCTGCCATTTCCTTGACTTTTCCTTGGCCATATGGCTTGGTGAATTCGGCAAATTGTAAATAATCTTTATCCAAGAGATTACTTTGTGATAGAGATTTTGGTTTTATATTCTTTTCAGCAATAGGATGAGGAGGCGATTTTAGGTTAATTTTGGGACTTTCATTGTCAGAGCTGGTAGGGGAGGTTGTCTGAATGATTGGTGGACAATTGTTGGGTTTAAATTTGATATTGGTATTTACATTTTGTGTTGCTTTAATAGTAGTAGTAGTTGGGTGCAAAATGACTTGATCACGCTTGAACTGTAGCTGTTGATGATTGCTATTATTTATAAACCTTTTTTGTTGCTGTTGGAATTTGTGAAAACCATTGCGTGCTGGACTTCCCGTTCCACTAGATGTTGATCGTATACTATTCAATTCTCTTTTTGGTTGTATGGATATATCACGAAAACGTTGCGTTAATAGGGGCATTTTCTCTATGGACTCACTGGATGAGCGATTGCTGTTGGAATTACTGCTATTATCGCCACCAGATGTTGAACGATAGGAATTCAATTCTCTGCGTATTTTCTGTATTAACGACCCTTTGTCCTTATCTCTTTCCAGTGATGAATTAGAATCTTTAAGTAATGATTCTCTAGATGAAGATTGCTGATGACAAAAATTACTTATGGCATCATGGGTGTGGAATTTTCGATTAATGGTTGCTGTTACATCCGGTTTATTTTCTGTATCTTCCAAATCAAAGCTGACCGTTTTTCGTTGATTTAACAAATTTGTGGCTGTTGTTTTATGTCTGTTTGAGATAATACTTTTGCTTTGAGTACCGGTAACTGTTGGCAAGGGAACGTATGGTTTCTCTTCTTCTGTGGGAGATCCATCGTCAATGAATGGTATATCTTCAGATCGAGAGACTGAGGCAATACCTTCTTCATTCAACGGCTGATGGACTTCGGTGTAGACAAAATTTGTAAACGATTCTTGAGAATTAGTTTTAGCTGCACTGGATTGTTCTCCTGGTTCCATGTACTCCTCAATATAAATAGAGGGTGGTGGGGTATTGTTTATGTTCATATTACTGGTACTATTAGCACGTTTCCTCAAGGGAGCAGCATATATCTGATGTTGTTGCTGTTGAATTTGCGGTTGTTGATGCTGATGCATCATCATACCTCCCCCCAGAGTGTTGGTTAAATTATGAGTACTCAATGAAACTTCCTTGCTCATATTATATAAACTACTTGCCGAACGAGCAATGGGTCTGGTATCTCTATAACGTGGATCAATTGGAATTTCATAACCCATTTTACATCTTTCTTCCAGCAAAGATGAAGCACTTAGTCGTCTCATTGGTGGTGAATTTGAGCTCGTATACATGCCAGCATACGATTCTCGTCGACTACGATTTAAACTATCATCAGAAATAGAACCATAATAACGACTGGTCGTGTGACTACTATGTCGCCGTTGTTGAGGATGGGGAAATTGTAATGTTTGCATTGGTGGTGGCATTTCATCTAATTTAGTCGGGTTGTGTTTGTTAATTCGTTTATTTTGTTATTAAAGTTAGTTAGAATTATGATTTTATTTGTTAAACAAAGGCAGCATGTGAAAAGGATAGAGATGTAAGTTTTAATTAGATACAAATACATGGTAACTAGCACTATAGCTATTGGATACTCTAAGAGAGAGACTATTCTATTACAAATATTAAATTTTATTGTTTGTCTATTTAATGTTTTAACTTACCCCGTTGAATAACCGGACTGGGTTGTTGTAGTAGGGTTGCTAAACCATGATAAATAGCTCCTTGTTTGGCAACATCCAAAGTAACCACGGGACCTGTACGCACTAAATAATCAGCAGCTCTGAAATAATATAAAATGTTAATAATACGCAACGGTTTGGTTTTTATTCCAATTACCTTTCTTGTGTAATGCCTATTAAACTTTGTCCATCCACACGCAAAAGCTGATCTCCAGCCTGTAACCGACCATCAGCATCGGCAGCTCCACCAGGAACTACACTCTTTATATAAATACCCAAACGATCTTGTCCGGCACCTTTGGCAGCTACGATAGATAGACCCATGCCATTCGAATTTTTATGCAATTTAATAACTTGCACCTCGGGCTGAGGAAGTTTGTTGGACATGGCGCTTGAAGAACGGGCCTAAAAGATAATATTTTGAATAAAATTAGAAAGTGATTATTTCTGAAATCTTCTTTTGTTTAGTTAAAAGAAGTATGTTTTCAACATAAAATATTTGCTTAGAATATTAAAACTACTAGTCTATAAAAGCCATTATTCATACTCACATTAAATTGGTGCATATACACGGTCCACAATCCTATTGATGTGGGTTGAGCAGCCAATCGACACATTCCCTGTTGCTGGAGAGGATTTAAAAAATCCACCAAGCCTGAAGGTATGCCACGCACTACATCACAACTGAACCCATCGTCGGGCAACAGTAATGCCAAATGTAATTCTGGCGATTCTTCTAGACGAACTTCTCGACCATCAGCTCGGGTCAATTCATCGGCTACAGATTCAGCCATACGTATGGCTGTATCGACCAAATTTCGAGGAATTTTCTCTTGTTGTAATAAAGCAGCCATTTGCAATGAATTCAAACGGAAACAAGAGCATGCCAATTGTTGAATTTCTTCTACAGATGTTTTGGGGGCCTGTAAGAATTGGGCACACTGGTTGATTTTGGCCAAATGGCAATCGGCAGCCAACTCCAAGCCCTGACGTTCAGCCCACAATTCAAGTAGTTGTAAACGTTCGGTCATCACTTTGCCCCATTCGGCAGTGCACATATGAGAATTGGCAACAATCTGTAAAAAAAGTTTTCATTAATATAAGGTACTCTTTAAATTAATTTATTGAAAATATAAATATAACAAGAACACAAACATTTTCTTCTTCATTAACTTTTGCTCACCGTATTGAAACAAATCACATTGATATAATGAAATAGTTGGGAAAATAATTGTATTGTCAAGGCAGCATTTACACGGCATCTTCTCAGCAGAGCCATGGCAGAACCTAAAACGGTTAATACTAAACCAGCGGCAGAATCATGATCTATTGTCTCCGATAGAAATTGATTTAGGGTCTGCGATAGCTCAACTCTAAAACAGTTTACCAAATTACGAAACGCTGTCTGCACACTTTCGGCCAACACCTCTTGTGCCTGTACCGAAAATGCACTTATGTGACGATCCGATTTGAGAAAATGTAAAAATTCTGATGAATTTGCCATCCAAAAGGCCAGTATACGTGGATCGGTATATTGTTCTTGTACAACATTGTAAATAAGATTAGCGACATGATGCAAAAATATTGTTAATTTATGGGCACGTTCTGTCGGCTGGAGCTCTGGACGGTAATGTGTTGAAGCACGATATCTGTAATGGGTATTGAGAATGAACAGGGATTAGTAAGATGTTTGCAAATTCCTCGTTTAGAATTTGTTTGTATTGAATTGTTTTTGTCATTTTCAGGTTTTCAATTGAAGGAAGTACAATTTTCGGGGTTATCGAAAAAAAATATTTCCAAAGACTTTTAGACGGGTGTTAGCCGAAGTAAACTCCATACTCTTTAGTGGCTGGAGGTTACAATACCATTCACGGTGTGTATTTTGTTAAGTTTTGTTAGTAAAAAGCTAACAACAAGGTCGGCATATAATATTGTCACAATAAAATGCAAACATTCTTAATACACATAATAATCTTAAAATAAGCAAATACAATCAAGCTTAAGAAATTTGTTCCTTTCGACTTTAAACTCAAGAATGAAGCAATAAAGGTGAATAAATGCAATGATCTGCCGAATAGGCTATTATTACATGTATCAATTTTTTAGAGGAAATGGTTTTGTTTGTATTAAAATGTGTCATACAAATATATATATTTAGAGGGTTGATTTGTGATTGGTTTTGATAAAACGTCATTATTTTTGGAAATGTTGGCTTATATCCTGAGAGTTTAAAGACGAAAGGGTTGACATTTTAAAATATTTAACAAACCTGGCACATAAATACAAAGAATAAACGGGTGCTAATTTAAAATGCGGGGCATTAACATCCAATTCGGTTATGATGTGTCTTAGAAAAAACTCCTGATGGGTTTCAGGAAATTCTAAAACGGCCGGCAATATTGGCTCCTGGCCTTGTGGCTCAATGTGGGCAGCTGCTGACGTTGATGACAACGGCATTTTGGGAGATCTATTAAAATAATAAAGAGCAAATTAAAAATATTATATATTAATAATAATAAAATATTTTCACATGGTAAATATTAAGATAATGTATAGGTTTTATTAACGGATTATTTTAGCGGACAACACAAATTTATGATTTAGCGATTACTTGTAAGATCAAAAATAATTAACAAACACACGTAGAAATGAAAATTGTTTTTAAATGATTTGGCAAACAAACAAATAATGAAAATCAAGAATGAAAATGATTTTGAAAAAACATTAGCAAAAAGACTTTTTTAATTACAACGTGTTTAGATTGCTTAATGAAACAAATTATATAACTTGATAGTGTGTTGTTTTATGTATTCAAAGGTCAAGTAAAAGCTGTAAAAATTGTCTAGAGAAAAATATTCATTATTTTATAATAATCTTTAGTAATATTATTAATATATTATTCAACAACATACCTTTCTTGACTATTGGAACCACCGGATTTCAAACTGGATATTGATTTCGTTTCATTTTCCAGATTACCTTCTAAACTCTGGGTGTCACCACCACCACCTCCTCCTCCGCCGCCACCGGAAAAATTTCCATTTCCACTGGGATTTGTGTTATCGGAACTACCATTTGTGGATGATCTCAATTTGCCATCAATTTCAGTGTGATCTCCAGCATTGGGATTGTGGGGATCATAATCGCTTTTGTGAGTCTTCATTTTGAAATGGAAAATAATAATGTAATAGTTTTTGTTTAAAAAATTATAATTATTTTCTTTTTTCTTACCGAACTTAGCGCCCCATCCTCATCATTCCATGATCCTGGCGATGCTGGTGAACGGCTGTTGTGATTTCCAAGCGTTGTGAGTTGTTTTTTGTTTTGTTTAAACAAATTTGTAATTTCCGTCCAAATGTCGTCATATATGTGTATTGTGTATGTGTATATGTTTGTGTGTTTATTGCGTTATGTGTGTGTGAGTGTGTCCATATGCATCGATATGTTCATGTAATGATTGTTTTTATGATTGATATTGTTTTGGTGTAGTTTTTTTTGTTGGGTATAAATAATACAAATGCATTTGTTGGTGCATTTTGGTTTTTTGTTTCGTTTCAATGGAAAATTAACAACAACAACATAGTGAAATAAAAACAATAACAAACGTGATGGTTTTTCACAGATGCAACACATAAAATGAAAAAAAGTAAAATAAAAATATGATAAAATAATTAGGTTAAAGGGTCGAAATCAAATTACAAGAAAATGCATTTCAACAATCTGTGGCAGAAGTGAACGTAAGAGATGCAAAGGAGAACAATGAAGAGTTCAGTATGTCTGAATCGAGGCCTACTTTATTTCATTTATAAATATTAAAAAATATTAACCGGGACAAAGGAGGACGATGCACTCTATAAAACTGAAATCTCTAGAAAGATGGACCGACGTCTTAATAAGCAAACGAATGTGAAATTTGGATTTTGATAAATTATCTTTTTCCTTGGCCTCTCTAATAATACAAATTTCTGTAAATTTAATTCATCCTTTTCAAGACATAAATGTTTTAAAACCTTTGGATTTCGGATTTCAGGACTTCGAAAAGTTTCCGGTCCTGCATAAGATGTGTGTTTATAAAGCGTTATTAAGAGAGAAAAAATCGTAGTTATAACTGAATTCTGAATTGCCAAACCGAAGAATTTAATTGTGCTTCTCCAACTTTTGTTTAAAAGCATTTTCTTTTTGGATATTTTATGAATGAAATTAAAAAAACTTTAACGATTTGTTTATAACAAAACACAACATAAATATGAACATTAAAAAAATGAATAATAAGAAAACATTTAACGACAAGCAAGCAGCATAAAACAATACTTGATAGTGATTATGGTTTTCAAATAAAAAAACTTTTATATTTGGGTTTTGTTACATTTTATAACATTAATACACACACAGAGAGCACATCAAAACAACAATTGTTTGTTTTTTGCTATGTAGAATGCACACTGAAACTTACCTTTCATAGAGACAGGCCGAATCCAATTGTGACTGTGACAAGGCCAAATTGTAGCGGCCATCTGTGGGTGAGTCCACAAACCGATATGAGGCCACGCGACCGAACATTACCACGGAACCGTTCTGCAAAATAAACAAGCACATGTTATAAAACAGCAATTAAAAAAAGTTTTTTTAGAATTTTTATTAAAATTGATGGATATGATTTTTGCACAGCCTAATGGCAATTACATTTTTTTCTTTTGTTGAATATTAAATTAGTGGAAGAGTTTTGTGTTGCTCTCCCTTGAGCCTAAAAAATTCAACGAGACAAATTAATCATTACCGCTGATATACACACGTCTAATATGGACTAATTTTAAAATTCGACTAAAAAACAAGGGGCGTTTGCTATTCGAAACGCCTTTATTACACAGAACGCGACGACACAGATCAGATCAGATGTGTGTTTCAGTTGTTGATGTTGTTTTTTATTATTTGGGAGAGCGCCCAAGAACAACAACACCAACAAACACTCACAAATATTTAGACGCACAGCGGTCCGTTGGACAGACAGACATTCGTTGTTTCATTGCATTCATGACATTCTGATCAAGCCCATGCCGCCTCTTTTGCCGCATGAATATCGAATCGAGGGGCGGTATGATAAATCGACATTTGACCCCCAGACAAGGACGTGTGGTTAATTTACATCCGAGTTAATGGCTCATTAGTTAGAGCAATCATTTTAAGTGTAACACTGAATGACATGGTTTAGATAGATGATAATTGGGGGATGTTTTTCGTCTTCCTTTGGGTAATGTCATTAAATTCAATTACAGTCTTAACACTTTCATTTACGAGTACATGTTTGGAATGAATTGACTTGGCATTAAGCGGAAATAAAATCACGTTGTTTATGTATTTCAATCACTTTTTGAAATTGTGGAACATTTTTTCGTTTTTGAACGTTTTGGGAATACATAATTAAAAAGATCGGAAATACTTCAATTTATAACACTATTAGAAAATCGTCCTCTTCATAAAACAATTTTTGGATTAAAAATTATACATTTTTCTAAGATAGAAATAGTTAAGGAAAATTAAAAAGTTGTTGATATTAGGTTGGCGATTTGTTGTATTATTTGTTGCCATTTTAAAGGTAACCTCATAATGCCTCTCTCATAGAAGTCCTGCTCTCTATTTGCAAAAAACTCTAATAGTCGACTTTTACAATCCTCCCTAGATACCAATTTTTTATCATTAAAGAAATGTTGCAAATATGATAATCGCTTGGTGCCAAGACCGGACTGTATGGCGGATGCATTAAAACTCCCCCGCAGCTTCTGGCGAGTCACTGTAGATGTGTGTGGCATAGCGTTGTCCTGTTGGTCAATTCTGTCCGTTTCTGGTCAATTGTAAATGGTTCAAAACAGTTTATGGTCGAATTTTAGCTACTGGTCGATGTTACGACTGTTAACATGCCAGTCAACTTCGATCATTTCTACTATTTTATCGACATTTTCGACGACCGGCCTAACTGTGTATAGGTGTATCTTTAACATCAAAAATTCCTGAACGGTATCTACGAAACCAAAATTGCACATAATTGGCGGTTACAGTATCGGAACCATAAACACCATTCACAATTTAAGCCGCTTGGCTTGCATATTCGTATTTGTTAAAGAAAAACTGTAAAATGTACCGAATTTTGTTCCTCTTCACTTCCAATTTTAACACTCTATTACTCACAACTGAATGCACCAAACAAAAAAAGCGAAAAAATTTTGTTACTGCGAAATGTCACCCTTCCAAGGAGCATAACTCTGATAGTATCGATCAAACAACATTACGAAAATCTATCAGTACAGCCATCTGCCAAAAAATAATGGATTTATTTTCCTCCTATCTAATACATTTAATAGTTTTACAAAGTAACTCATTTATTATATATACATAGGCTACGTAAGAGGTCTTTACTTATATAGATTATTCATCAACGACCTCAATCAGATGTATCTTTCTAGTATTGAAAAGAACCTTAATCAGAAGTCTTCTCTTAGTAATGATTAAGACCCCAATGATGAATACCACAATCAGAGGTATAGATAAAGACCTCAATCACAGGCCTTCTTCTTGTATAAATAAATGCCACAATCAGAGGTTTTATTTTAGAATAAGGGAGGTATTCTTCTATAGTTGAATAACTCTTCCGGATGTTGTCTTATATATGTTGTTTTCTTCTGATGAATACCTTAATAAGAACTAATTTTCTAGTATAGATGAAGACCTGCATCAGAAGTCTTTTTCAATTTTATATGAAGGCCTGTACTTCTGGAGTAGATTCTCTTCTACCATAGATTAAGAACTCAAGAATAAATCTGCTTATAGTATAGAAGACCTCTACAATAGAAGAAATCATGTATGGAAGGTTTTTTTTTCTAGGATAGAAGAAAACTTCTACTGGAGTTTTTACTTGTTTTTCTATTGGAATCGGCTTTTTTAGCCCAGATGAAATTCCCCTCGATAGTGGACTTCTTTCATTATAAATAAAGATATTTCTAACATTATTAATAACCAAACTTATTACACCGACACTCTCTCTTTTTTTGCTTCTCTACACAGATTATGTAGATGATGTTGAGGCCGATATCGATCTCTCTCCGTAACTTGAAAATGCAAAACAAAATTTGATTTTGAATTTGAATTCATTAATTAGATGGAATCTCATGGGCTATTGAATGGATGAAACAAACTCCAAATAAAATGTTCCTCAATGTGTAGCGATGCTATGATGCTGGGCTCTCGTCATCAATCCATTTTATTGATGTTCAGTATTTTGAACAAATGCCACCCCTCGTTTAAGTTAAATTTAAAGCTTTTGTTTCTTTTTTTGTTGTGGAATTTCTTTTGTGCGTTTTTCTCGCTTGAATATCCAATTAAATTGTTTAAAATGAATTTAATTATTTTCTTTATTTTGTTATTGTTTTGTTTAACAATGAGTCATAGCTATTTGTATTATTAAATAATTTTTAAAATGTAAGTTTAAAAAACATTAATAAAAACCAGTAACTACATGAAATGAGCAGCATTCAGGAAAACCATTAAATGGCTATCAAAAATTATTCTGAAGGCTCTTTTGTTGTGTATTGTCTTTAAAAAGAAATTAGAGAGTGAGAGAGAGAGGGAGACAAAGTCCAATAATACCAATTTTTTAAATCAAAACTATCTAAACTAAAACTATGTTCTACAAATTTTTACTATTTTTGCAGATATCATAAAAAATTGTTATCGTAGTAAAAAAATGTACATTCTTGCAGGTTGTGGAAAAGACCTTTTTTGTTTGTTTTTGAAAGTGTCTATTGTTTATTATTTTTGGAAATATATCTGATATGAAAAAAATGACACAGTTTTCTGTTCAAAATTGGAGCAAACATATTTGATTTATTTTCCTGGATATATTTAGTTTGCAATTTCGGTTTGTTATTGTTGCAAAGATCAATGAACCGTAAATCAAATTTATGACGAAAAAAAAAACAAGTATCGATTTTCAAAGCAATAGAGCTTGTTTTTGTGATAGATAAACGTCATGACATCCAAAAACAAACATTGTTTTTTGATGAGATATGTGAGAAACTGTGTTTTTTGTCTATGGGAGGAAAAATTATTGAAACGGAAATTATGGGAAAAACTAATTTATTTTATAATAGGAAAATGACAACGCATGCATATACATTAGAGATAAATGAATATTGTACTTATATAGCGTGGGAACACACCTCAGATTGAAAAGAACAAAAAATTCTAATATTGATTTGATATGAAATCTGAAAATGTCGTATTTTTAAAGAATAAGGCTAATTTTCATGAGCTTACAATCTGTTAATGGTTTATTATTTTTAACTTGTGTGCCCCAATGTTTATTAATCAGCTAGTAAATACATATTTTGTTGGCCAAATTATTCGCTTTTCAATATATAGTTGAAGTCAAAAAGGTGTATGGCAACAATTGTATACAGTTATTTATTATGCAAATTTTTTCGCATACGAATTTTAGCGTTAGAATTAGTTCTGATTCTTGTAAAAAAGAACCTAGAGAATCATTTAAATTGATTTTTCTTCGATATTGCATTTGGCTTTTCCCTAATTAGAATAGTTGCATTAAAAATTCGTGTCTCAAAGAGTTAATATTATAATCTTTATAAGACTAATTATACGATTTTTTATTTTTATTATAAGCTCTCAATTTAAGCAATTTAACTAATGGCGGGCACGATAACTCAAAAACTAATAATACAATCCGTTCCAATTTTTAACACGTTATTCTGTACATACACTGCTACCATATGAACTAGGATAAATGTTATCGGTCAAAATCTTCATTATTTTCAATCTTGGTTTGTGGTCGAAAATAGGGTTTTCCAAAAATCAAATGTCATAGGTCAGCCATTAATTGAAGAAGTTACAAATCAAGAAAAAGCTGGGATGTCATTTCGGTAAAAACTATTGTTTTTTACTGCATCCTATTCTTTAATATCGTATAGTATATTCATGTTAAGAAAAATATTTTTCATATTTCTTATTATATATTAATGTAAAAAAATGTAAAAATAGATTTCGGAGAAAACAAATTCAATGGAATATATATTATTTAGTTTATATTGTTATGTAATTTATTAAGTAGGGATTTATCGAAGATATTTATTATTTAGATATTGTAATATCAAATTATTCTCGTTAGTGTCTTATTATCGTAAAATTAATAGATGTGGCAAAAGAATTTCTAAAACTAATGGAAAACGAAATCGAGAATCTCGCAATAGACATGTTGGAATGAAAGGAAATTGCGTGGAGTGTAGTAGACAAAAACAACACAAGGAGACAACAATAAAGTTATAACAGCAGATGAAAATGTGAGCAAAACCTTTGAAAATATGTAAAGGAAGCGAACCTTTTATATGGATCCTATATAACGTGAACTGATAGATTTTATTCTACACTATTTGCGTCAACTTCAATAGAGGATGTTCAACTCAGTTTATAACCTTGATTCAATTTCAAATTTTTCTTATTTAACAGCCAAGTTGAGCATCATGCACCAGAAACGTCCTGATTTTGCGATTTACTTCGTACCATGATAACACCACTTCTTAAACTTTTGTTTTTTCTGCTTATTTTTTCAGAAACAACACATAAATAGTGCGTTATTGCGCTACTAGTGATACAGAATTCTTCGTGTATTTTACTTGTACACGTTCAGTCGTAAATTTCACACATAATCTCCCACAATTGTGATTTATGCCTACGAATGATATTACTTCTCGGTGACGTTATTTACAATCTCATTCTCCTGCTATGAACCTTGCGGCGATAACCAAATACATATGGTTTTACAAATGACGTCTTCGATAATTATCACGCCGAAACCTATTATCATAGAACTGTAAACGTACTCTTTAATTATCCCTTCCAGTGTCCCTTATAGTACATATAACGAAAAAAAGATAATAACACAAAATTGTTATACATTATTGTCCTATTAGTTTATGACCATGAACTTATTCGTAGACAGGAATAGCATGCTAACGTGACACAATTCCATTTAAATGTCAGAACAATTAAAACGTACTCCACATAATTGTTATAATACAACGGTCAATGCGTGGTCACACACACGCATTAATTTAGGCGGAAAGAATAAATAAGTGGTAGAGAATACCAACAGTTGAAGAACAGACATTTCAGTATGACCAAATGTCACCATATGATTTCGCAGGAAATAAACTGCCAGCCTAAAAGTATACAACACACTTTATTTTTATACCCATATACAACAAATATTTGTAAATGGCTTTTCCTGAACATCCTTTGTACTCATCCTTGAATCCCCCATATGTATACATTTACTTAAATCTCAGTTGTTAAATTAAATAAATATACACATGTGTCATCACCCCCGCTTTTACAGCTTCTGCTTTTTTTGGTATAAAAGTGGCAAAGTTTATGCAATATTTGTCAAATGATGTAAAGCTTTTAACGTTTATATAAAATTAATGTTCACATGCAAGCACGCACTTATACACGTTGCGTATGAAGAACGACATCCAGCCAGCCATTCAACCAACACACACACGGCGAGAGGATTTTTGTTCGAAACCACATATAACACACCACAGAATATTCACAGGTATGCACACATTACAGCTTTTCACTTATCACTTAATCCCTCTCGCCGATGTCATTCACACTTTTGTCGACTGGGTACCTATAAAAATGTTCCCATCACCAGATAATATCCATAATTCACTTGACTCGCACATAAGGGAATTTTTTAAGAGAATCTGATTTTTTTCTTTTTGCTGGGATTTCAAGTGTCAGTTGTTGATATTTACTCACATGTAATATTGTCGGCTGTGATATGTGATGTCCATTCACAAATGTCAAAGCATCAGCGTGTAATGGTGTCACAGTACAAACACCTTCCACCAATGATATGAGACAGTGTCGTGCCTGTATTGAGGGACCAAATAGTTGCAGGCAATTGGTATTAGCCGAACCGACCTGTGGGGAAAGAAAAAGGAACAATGAAATTAAAAAAATCTCCGGAATTTTCAAAAAATATGAAATATATATATATAAAAATGAAACACTACACTAAAAGTTGAAAATCATATACAAGTACCCAATCGAATTGAAAGTCCCTTCTCCATTGGCCTTGAATGACTCCTTACTTGTCACTCCTTACCAGCCACTTAAAACTATGTCTTACAAACCCCCTAAGTGTCATCCATAGATACTCTGTGAAAAAATAATGTTTTTTAAAAGTTTTTTACCCTCCGGAAACTTCGATAAATCTAACAAAATATATAACAATTAAATACTACTCTAACAGTCGAAAAACATCTACCAGTCCATAGTATGATTCTCTGACTTTCAAGCATTATATAAGAACCAACCAAATTTAAAGCCCCTTACCATCCCCCTTAAACGACTCATGTCATCTGTAGATTCCCTAAAATTATTTCTATATAACTCCCTTAAATGCCATCTATAGATACTCTGTGAAGAAGCTACATAAGGAATATTTACTAGAAGTCGCATTAAGCCATTTTCAAGTGTATATACAGACCCCTTACCAGTATATAAAAAATCATTACCAGTTGACGAAAGACATATTATTCATTCCGTGATTGGTGCAACCAATTTCTTCATAAACCCCCGACCCATGAGAATTTTTTGTATAATTTGTACTCACCTCAATGGGATCACTTCCCAGCTTAATGCGTCGACCTCCATCACCACTGTGGGTAACCTCGACCAACATTGGTCCCTCGCGATCCTGTGAAATATTATTGGCTCCATTGGCTGCACCCAAGGGTTTCTTCTTACGTCTTCTTGGCTGTGAATCTGCCGGACGTCTTCTTACATGGAACATTATGGAACCTAGAATTAAGAAAAAAAAAGAGAAGAGAAAAAACATTAACTCACTTTATAAAAAAATATTTTTTTAAATAAACAATTTACGTGTCAAATTCATTTTTCTCAGTATTGAATGTATTTTAAGGCATTGCAAAATTTAAGGAAATCTGTGTGCGTAATAACCCAACTTCCTTCGCACTCTAGATCACGAGGAGAAGTCTTTACAAATTGAGCTTTTTCATTCGACTAATAATTCTAAGTGCATTTTTGTCTTTTGGGAGGAAAAAAACTTCTATCGAAATGTGTTATAGAACACACATGGCAAAAACAACAATGGCAGTCATACAGAAACAACAACTAAATGCACCCCTCAAATTTTTTGTTGTTGAGAAGTTTCGCTTATTTTAATGGGAATTTTGTAAAAAAAAATAACTACAACAACAAAATGAATGAACAAAACAAAAAAAAATTGAATCACATCCAATTGAAAGTGATGGAGGTATAGGTTGGACGAGAAACTAATAAATGATAATCTCTGGAGTGCTAGAGTGCAAGTTTATGAAACTGAGGTTTCAATTGATTCAAAATATTATTGATTATTTTCATAAACTCGTCTGTAGTTTGAGAACATTAATTCACAATTTTTTTTTATCAACTTGTTCATGTTGACTGCAGTTATAGTCCTTCTGAGCCGCCGAAAAAGCCTATGGAACATTAGTCCTTAAAAAAACCTATAGTTGCTTATAAGAGCTTCGATATTGCAGGCACAGTTTGTTACACGCAGTACTCTAAAGAGAGAACAACTGAGACAAAAAGGTTTTAATGTCAATTTCTGAATATTGTGAACAGGCCTTGGACAATTGGTTGTCTATAAGGCTTGGTTACGACATGACTTTATATATTTCCTAAATGTCACGGATGACTTCCAAACACTGACCTATAAAATATATGTGCCGAAAAATCATAATTCTGCTGAGCTGACTCTATAAAATATCATTGTAACTCTTTAACCCCTAAATGTACGTATGTGCTTCTCAAGAAGTCCCCCTCATTTTTGCACCCTCTTACTAAAAACAAAATTTCTCCTACCTGCCCCCTTCTCCATCCTTCTCTTCCAGCAAGCAAGTTCATCTCTCAATGTCAACCATAAAACAATGGTAATGTGTCGCATCATCAATTTTAAGTTTTATTTTTATTGGAGGTTATGTTCTCAAATAAAAAATAAAATAAAACTGCAGTTAAACCCAAACGCAAGCGACAAAAAATAAATAAACCAATGACAACGACAACCAACACCAACAAAAAGTAAAATCAAATCCGTACTAATCTCAACACAAAATCCATTGAATCATAAAAACCATTCGACAGCCAGACTCAACATCTCAACAACTACAATAATGGCTTTTAGAACTAACAGCACAAAAAATAAATACAAAAAAAAGGAGGCGTTAGGTCGGAATGTTATGGATTTAAATTGCCCATAATATACTAGTATTAAATACAGATTTATTTGATAACGAGACAAAGTGAACAGAAATAAAAAATAAAACAATTGCAAAAAATACATTAGGGTGGAACGATGAAAAGTTGGATGTTACCACCAAAGACAATATCAAAATCGAAATCTCAGAACAGGCATTTAACGAAAACAAATAAAAATGGTTAAGTTCCATCATACGGTGAATTTTCAAAATACCTAAAATAGATCGGGACTTTTATTTTCTACCAAATGATAATCCAAAATACTAAAATAATGTCAATTTGATAGTATAAAAACCTGCCCAATCTCCTCAAAAAACCGACATTTGGAGATACCGTTATATTGGGGCCTACCCTATTAATCATTTTCAGCCGGAAGGTTGGCCAAATGATCGAAGTTGACCGGCATGATAGCAGTCGTAACATCGCTCGGGAGCTAACAATCGACCATAAAACTTTACAATTGACCAGAAACGGCCAACGCTAGGCCACACTCATCTACAGTGACTCCCCAGAAACATCCGGAGCTTGATTGGGAAGTTTTAATGCATCCGACATACAGTCAGGACTTGGCACCAAGCGATTATCTCATTTTTCTTGCATTGCAAAATTTCGTTAATGGAAAAATGGTATCTAGGGAGGATTGTGAAAATCGACTACTACAGTTTTTTTGTAAATAGTGAGCAGGACTTATATGAGAGAGACATTATGAAGTTACCTTAAAAATGACAACAAATCATACAACAAAACAATGCATATTTGGACAAATCTGACATTCCGTGGACAGCCTGTCAAAAGCTGTTTGTAGTACTATTTTAAAGAATTTATATATTGTATTTTTATCAGCAAATTTAGATCCATATTTTAAATGTCACTACCGGACGAGCATTGTACCAAAACAACTTTAGCATCTAGAATGTACATTATTCCTTTGGAACAATTGAAAAAAAAAAAATGATTTACTGAAGGAGCCAAAATTGGTGAATGGTATAACATGGATGCAGAAACTATTTCCAAATGTCTAAAGAATACTGATCTTATTCCAGATATATTGAATCAAATTTATGGAACTTCGGTTAAATGAAACATATATCAATTATGCGCATTTCGTATTATTGAAAAACTGCGGATAATTGAAACAAAATCCCTGCATTTTGGCCACTTTCAATTCCGCAGATTTGAACACAATTCAACGAAAGGTCTCCTTTAAGACCTGTTTTACGGCATGACAAGTAAGTGAAGTTATTGGTCAAAAATTATGAAAAATCTTTCAGGCTTCTCTGAAATTTAATTAATTAAAACTTTGAAGAATAATCGTTGTTTGTTTTTTAATTTTCACATCTCCAACCCAATATAAAAATTCCAACTATGCATATGTAGTTGTGTGCGGTCAGGTCAGTTAAGTTTATTTTTTGTAGTAACAGAAGGCCAAACGAAAATCCTATAAATAATACAAATATCAACCGTAGCACTACTATTGCTGTTCAAACACATAAAAATGCAAACAATACTCTGCTGTGTATGTAAATGAAATAACGAAATTTTTTTATTTTGGTTTTCAGTTCGAAGTAAAAAAAAAAAAAAAAACAAAAAACAGTAACGTATGTGACCAAATAACGTCACACCAATTCTATACAGTATAAAGTTCAACGAAGCATAAACAAAATTCTGATGTCGAATTTTTGTTGTTTGCCATTGATGTGGAAGGAAAAATTTTCACACATACAATCAATGCATGACTTTATTAGTTTGTTTGTGTTTGTGTTTTTTTTTCTTCAAAGAAAAACTGTAAAAAAACTGGAGCAAAAGTTTAAAACTCTTTAAGTGAGAAAAAGCTTAGATAAAAAGAGGAAATTATTACTAAAGTATACTTTAAGGAAGTTGAATATAATCTTGCATACTTTAAGGAGCTTATTTAAATGCTCAATGTTTTTAAAATGAGCTTCTTTAAATGTTTTGAATGTTACAGTTCACAACTGAGTAGAAAGTTATTTTAATAACTATGATTATTTTCTTTTAATTCTCTCCAACAATATATACAAAATGAAATCACAAAATGTAATCAAGTATTACAAATTACAGTTGACAAAAAAAAAATATTTTTTTATTTTCAATCTCTACGTCTGATTACATTTCAATTACATACACAATCCAAGCAATGTGACTGATGTAGACACCGAAATCCAAAAGGAGAACATATATCCGAAACCGTGGCAACACACATTGACACATTTCTATTGGAAATCGAAATGCAATCCCGGTAGCAGTAGTAGTTGGCTGGTTTGTTGGAAAAATTAATATCTGAACTGTGGAGTTTTGTAATGTCATAGACATAAGGATCGTATAAGGTAGGTAAATTGCAAAGAGATACAACTTATTTATTTGAAACATGGAGAACATATATTTTTCAAATACTTCAGCAATTTAAAATTATCGTCCGTAAAATAAACATTTTACCCATGTTTTGTAGTTAAGCTATTTTGCATTTTATCTATTCATGAAATGCACTACCACATGACAGGATGCATTGACACACAGTTTATTGCGTTCACATTCATTTCGACTATCAGCCATAACACTCACCCAGGGACTCAATACCATTGCCGTGATATTGCCTAGAACACTTTTAATTGATTTCGCAATAGACAAGAGACCGAACGAGAGAATATTGGTCGGCTTCCCGTAACAGTATGACGATGACGACAACTACGATGATGATAATAATGAAATAAAAATGTCATTTCAGCCGTAGCTTAGCCGCCTGCAGACACAATCGAAATGTCAAATAAATGGGAAAACAATGATGGAAATTATTGTTATAACTTTTATGGATTGAGTGCTGAGCAAGAACATGAAACAATTGTGATGGACAATGACTAATGGGTGGTGATGGCAATAAAAGGAAATTGTGTTAAACCACAAATAATGAAATAATGCGCAATAAAGAAATTGTCAATTTTCTTTATACCATGAAAATATATAAAATACAGTGTATACTTTTAGGGGTATCTCGTTTAGCGGTCATCATCATCTGCACATTCAAAAACATTTAAAGTTTTTAGAGTGTAATTTGTAGATCGAAGAACAACAAAAAGAGTTCGCCCATATATAGAAGAAATCCTTACAGATATTTTCTATATACAAACGTTTTTTCCGGGGTTTCAATTGACTGACTCCTTTATATAGATCATCTGCAGACAAAAGTTAATTTCTAGTTTTTCCATTTCCAAGATCAATGTTTACCTATTCTGACTTTCTATAAATAAAATATCCTCTAATGCCTTTTATAGACAAAAATAATTTTCCTGGACGTTACACACATTTCTTCTACACACTGAAGACGTTCTTCTGTTATTTTTTAGTTATGATAGTCTAATTGGGTCTTGAAAAATAATCTTCTCCAATAATTCTATTATTGGAAGACAATATTCATGCCTTTTACAGACAGGGGACCTCATATACTCCTTCTTTAAACAGAACACCTTCTTCAGGCCTTTCATAGACAGAAACCCCTTTTCTAGTATATCACGGTATTATATGGGTAG